TCCACAGAGGATCGTGTGGTGTTTTGCAGCTCTACCATGTTACGCAAGAACAGAAACACCATAATCTTGTCTATTAAGGGTAAAAAACAAAAACCAGTCAACATGCTCTGGTCTAGCCAGGTTTTTAAGGTAGAATTAGGGTCATGATAGTGAAGGAGAGGATGCATTAAAGAACCGGAGGAAAGTTGTATGTTTCATTGGTGCTACACTGCACCCTGATTGGCCCGTCAGTAAGGTATGTACGTGGGCACAGATAAGAGTTGGAAACATGGAGAATACAGGACAGATAAACTCCTTGGGACCAATATTGAGAGTAGCCATACTAGGAGGGAAAGGGGAAGGTGAGGGGAGAAAGTGGGAACCAATCACAATGACCTACCTATAACTCCCTCCCAGGGGGATGGACAACAGACAAGAGGGTAAAGGAGACATCGGACAGTGTAATACATGAAAAAAAAAAAATTATAAATTATCAAGGGTTCATGAGGGAAGGCAGAGAACAAATGAGGAGCAGATACCAAGGGCTCAAGTGGAAAGAAAATGCTTTGAAAACAATGATGGCAACAAATGTACAAATGTCTTTGACACAATGGATGGATGGATGGATTGTGATAAGAGTTGTACGAGCCCCCAATAAAAGGATTTAAAAAAACAAAACCAAAAACCAGTCAATCGGTGTAGAGGTTGAGCAAGCCACAAGGAAACCAGCTTGCACGGCTCAGGGCAAACCAACACACCAGAGCGAGCAGACTCCTGAGCCGGAGTGGACACAAACTGTGTGGGGCCTAAACAGAGCCTGACATCTTTGAAGATGGAGAATCACAGCCTCCTGAAAAGTCCTCTACCTAAAGCCACACTTCCCACATTCTCACATCAGCCCCCTGGGCTGGGCTGGGCTTCCTGTAGGCGGCAGGGCTGCCCTGTGCTTGGAAGGGTGCTCCAAGCATCTCTCCCCCTGACTCACTAGACACCCAGTGCCTACCGGAGCTGTGAAGATTGAGGATGTCCTTAGCCATTGTCAAGTGTCCCCTTAAGAGCCTTGGCTCTGAAGGGGAACGTGGCTACAGGGAGGTGGGCGGATCGGAGAGAATGAAGCGCGGCGCGTGACCTGTGTGAGAGGAAGGCGGCTGGAGAACTGCAGATGGTCTACTCTCAAAGAAGTCACACGGAAACATCGACAAGACTGAATCAGATACGTGAAATTGTAGCCTCTTACACAGGGCAGGCCTGTGAGCCCAGAGGGAGAGGAGGTGAGTTTAATGAAATGCAGCTTCTTCCCAGGCTTCAGCACAGGGCCAGGGGCGCAGAGCCCAGAGGTCGCTGTGACTTGAGGCCGGGAGAGACTTTGTGGTTGGGTGGCCGTGTGTGTCTGAGTTGCCAGGCCACACAAGGCTTGCTAGGCAGCCGTCTTTAAGGCACAGGTTGCCAGGCCATTTCTCCCGCCGAGTCACTGGTGGGTTGAACTTGCCCACCTTGTGGTTCGCAGCTGAGTACTTAACCGTTGTGCCACTGGGCTCCTTCCAGGAGGCACAGGCGGCCCAGCTTTGGAGGGCAGAGTACTGGAGGGGGTGGGGTGGGGGTGGGTGGCTGGAGAGAAAGGCAGACCGATGTCACTTCCAGGAGGTAGCACCGGGGAGTATGGTCTCAAAACAAAACACACCACACGCACGGCTTTACCTTGAAGACAGCCTGCTCTTTGTTGTTTAAAACTTGAAACGTTTCATTAGAATGAAATATCCCTAACATACAATTTTAGCCCTTTAAAGCATAATTCAGGGACATTAATTCCATGCAGAGTTTGGTGGTGTCTCTTCAAAGGCGCTGAAGACGAAACGCTGTGCCAGAGAGGAACATCGCGGCCCCCAAAGCCACTAGGACAAAGAGAAGCAACTGGAGAGCAGACAGGGCCCAATGCAAGTAATTCACCAAGTAGTGGGTTCTGTCAGGCCCAAAGGAGGGCTGATGGCTTAGTGGACTATGGTCTGAGCCAAAGGTTAGCAGTTCGAACCCACTAGCTCAGTGATTCTCAACCTTCCTAATGCCACGACCCTTTAGTACAGTTCCTCATGTTATGTTGACCCCCCCCCCCAGCCATAAAATTATGTTTGTTGCTACTTTATAACTTTACTTTTGCTACTGTTATGAAAGGGTCCTTTGATCCCCAAAGAGGTGGCAACACACAGGTTGAGAACTGCTGCACTAGCTGCTTCTTGACGGAAAGGGAAGGCTATCTATTCCCCAAAAGATTCAACATCTCGGAAACCCAAAGGGGCACTTCTACCCTGCCCTACAGGCTGCTGTGAGTCAGCATCCACCTGACGGCAGTGGAGTTTGGATCAAGGCCAAAAATAAAAATGATCATCAATTTCATTAAAAATCAGCAAATGCCCATCTAGCCAGAAGCAACAAAGCCCACATGGAAGAAGCACACCAGCCTATGCCATCACGAGGTGTCAAAGGGATCAGGTATGAGGCATCATCAGAACAAAAAATCTTACCATAGTGAGTGATGGGAGTGCAGAGTGGAGACCCAAAGCCCATTTGTAGGCCACTGGAGATCCCCTTGCAGAGGGGTCTCGGGGAGGAGATGAGCCAGTCAGGGTGCGATGTAACAATGATGAGAAATACAACTTTCCTCTAGTTCCTAAATGCTTCCTCCCCACCCCCACTATCATGATACGAATTCTACCTTGCAAGTCTGGCTGGACCAGAGGATGAACACTGGTGCAGATGGGAACTGGAAACACAGGGAATCTGGGGTGGATGATCCCTTCAGGACCAGTGGTGATACCAGTAGGGTAGAGGGAGAGTGGGTTGGAAAGAGGGAACTGATTACAAGGAACTATATGTGACTTCCTCCCTGGGGGACGGACAACAGAAAAGTGGGTGAAGGGAGACGTCAGACAGGGCAAGATATGACAAAATAATAATTTATAAATTATCAAAGGCTCATAAGGGAGGGGAGACCGGGGAGGGAGGGGAAAAAATGAGGACCTAATGCCGGGGCTTAAGTGGAGAGGAAATGTTTTGAGAATGATAAGGGCAATGAATGTACAAATGTGCATTATACAACTGATGTTATGTGTGGATTGTGATAAGAGTTGTATGAGCCCCTAATAAAACAATTAAAAAAAAATCAGCAAATGGCAAAACCAAACCATGATAACATACCGCCATCCCAGATTACAACAAACATCCAGGTCTGGGATAGCAAGATTGATGATTACAACAAACATCCGGGTCTGGGATAGCAAGATTGATGAGAACAGAGAGCAGCATGAACTCCCTCCCATGCACCATGACAGGGGAGGCAGAGACTGACAGGAGACACTGGGATACGAGTTAGTGCCATCTAGCGAGGGGGCAGACCGCAGACCGTAAGATTCAGCATTTTACAGCCTTGTCTTTCTCCCTTGGAGCAGCTGCTGGTTTCAAACTGCTGACCTTGTGGCTAGCAGCCCAACGTGTAACCACACCACCATGGTTCCAGATCCAGGTATATATATGCCTTGAGAGACCTCACCGGGTGTCCCAGCCGACATACGCAAAAGGATGCTCATGACATGCTTTGCTCCTAACAGAAAACTGAAAGGAGCTCGGGGCCCCACGCAGGTGAAGGGCAGACTCTCTGTGAGCCAGTCCAACCGCAGGTAGTTCGCTCCACAGCAGGGAAGAGAAGTCGAGATTACAAGCCCTGGGCGCCCCGTGGATGGAGTGCCAGACGCACAAACTCCAGGCCGGCAGTTCAAACATTAGCAGCGGCTACTTGGAAGAAAGCGGGAGCGTCTTCCCACAAAGGCTCCCTCTCTGAACCCACAGGGGCAGTTTGACTCTGCCCTGCAGGGCCCCTGTGAGTCGGAATAGACGCAACAGCGGTGGGTTTTGTTTGGGGGGCTTTTAAAAGAGCAATTGGAGCACCTTCTATAGACAAGATTCAGGAGGAAAAGAATACTTACCTACTATAGGAATCTATTTGTAAAAAGTTCAAAACGGGGCAAAACAGAACTAGATTAATTATACAGATGCAAATCTCTATGACGTGATACTGGGGACGATCAAGTCCAGGCATCCACAGCACCGCTGGCCTGGCAGGGTGGTGAGGCTGGTAGCGGTGCTCGAGGCCTTGGGGGCTAGGTATGCTGGTGGTCTTTTTATGACGCTGCACACATACATCCAAGCAAACCCACGAGGCTCTCGTGTGCCAGAGCAGGACTAACTGTGCTCCACAGGTTTCTTCCCCAGGCCTTTCTTGCATGGTGCCAGGGATGGGGCGGCACTCCAATCACCAACCTTTGGGTTAGTGGCTGACGGTTTAATCACTGGGCCACCAACCAGGGTGGCACTGATGTTTTACATTATATAAAACTTCCTCTTAATACTTTCAGAATGTATAGCCTGCAGATCCCCTCCTGTAACTTCCACAGTTCTAAAACCGCTCTTACCCACCCTGGGGGTTTGTTTTCTAGAGTGGAGACCAGAAAACTCTTGCTGCGGGAACTCCAGGCACAGCAGGCCATGCTGGGTGGGGGAGTGAGGGACTGGGTGCAGGTACCCACCACCCCTTCCTCTCAGCTCCAAGTGTCTCTTCACAGAGCTCACCCCAGCCCTGTGGGACAGGCCAGCCTCAGTCAGCTTGCCTCGGTCGTCGTCATTGCACGAGTAATTCTTGACCCTTGGCACGTGTAAGGAGGGTGAAGGCGCCCTGGCGGTACGGTGGGTTAGGCAGTGAGTGCTAACTGCAGGCTTGGTGGTTCGAACCCACCAGCCGCGCCGAGGGCGAGAGCTGGGGCCACCCTCTTCTGAAAAGGGTGAGAGCCTTGGCAGCCGGGCCGCCGCTCCACTCTGACCTGCAGGGCTGCCATGACTTGGGATCGGCCTGACAGCAGTGGGCTTGGTTTTAGGGTTTTATTGAGAACTCACACTGTGATAAAAGCACAACATTACTTCATCTTGGAAGCTGACCTTGCAACACAACAGCTAGAAAGAGGGCAGGCACTTACCTCTGCCACCTCCTTTTGAAAGGTCAACGTCATCTGCGTCCTGCCGTAAACAAAAGGCCCCTCCTGGCGGGAGACCGCCCTCAGCCACTTGATGATCAGCGGCGTGGAGACACTGAAAGGCAGATTTCCGATAATGTGGAAATTGGGCGGATCTGCGTGACGGGAGGGAAACCCACAGAGGCAAGTTCATCAGTGTGCTGGGACTACGATTCCGTTCAGACTAAAATCAACGTGGACAGTTAACAGTGTCACACAAAGTAGATAAAAGGATACAGCCGACTGTTTCCCAGTCTGTACAGTCTTGATCATCAGGGTTGGATTCGTAAGGCAAGCGGTTCTACCTAAGCAGCGTTCAGTCGACCTTCCCCAGAGGCACAGTGTTACACACTAGGCCACTCACCCAGGAGGGCAGCAGCTGGAGACCACTGATGGCTCTGCGGGGGCAGGATGGGGCCCTGTACTCCTGTCGAGTCACCGTCTTGGAAACCCACAGGCAGGTCTGTTCTGTCTTGTAGGGAGGCTCTGAGTTAGAAGTGACTTGATGGCAGTTAATTTTTTTTTTGAGTCGTCAGTCAGTCAGTGATGGGCCTTAGATTTCTAGCATAGCGCGCGCGCACACACACACACACACACACACACACACACACACACACACAC